ATATCTTAATATTTTTAAAAATAAACATATTATAGGTAAAATCCGAACGAATCAAGTGGATGGATTTTTTTTCAAATATTTTAATTTTGGATGTTACCGATAAAAATAATTATAAATGGTTGAACAACTTTACTGCAACACCACCTACCAATAACAATAATAACACTAATACTGCAAATAATACTATGAATAATAATAACAGACTTTTTATTGTGAAAATGACTTTAGCTGCCATATCAGCTGCTGCACTTATTATTTCAGCAATTTATTTGATTGTGAAATATAACCGAAGGAAAAATAAAAATGTTGTCACCCCCGTGAATCCTGAAAATAGTAGAAATGATGATGAAAAAGTAGTAGTGATTGGAATTCATGACAGTGACAATGATAATACTTCAAAAGGTATCAAAGATACAAACGACATCAAAGATACAAACGACATCATAAAAACAAATGCCGTCAAAGATGCAGATGAAAAAGATATCAAAGAATGATTGATAATGTATGTTTTCATTAAAAATATAATTGTTATAATTATTATTGTTAAGATCACACATAAATTTGATAAGATTTAATAGATTATAGTAATTAAGTATCAAATGTCCTTTTATAATAACATTAAATTGATAATTGATAATTGATAATTGAATAATAAAAATAAAAATAAAAATAATAAATTTATTCAAAGTTTCCTCCAATTCGATGAATTTGAGAATGTGTTATAATATCAAGGGTTGTTCCATTTTCTAATTTCTTACTTTCAACTTCAATTTCATTTTCACCACTTCCAACTCTTCTCATGGCTAAAAAAAAAAATAAAAAAAAATAAGATTTTTTTATTTTACAACCAAAAAACCATTCCAAAAAAGCCCAAGTAAATACCTCTAGCAACAATATCTACATCAATAGTAGCTCTATTTCCCATAAAAAATTTGGCCGTCCTCATACCAATACTTTCCAATAATCTACCTCTAGGTTCCTTTGGAATTAAAAAATGTGGTTTAAAAACACTAACACGATCAAATCCAATTCCACACAGTTCATTTTCGATTTCTCCTTTAACTCTCATATATAAATTGGATGAATTAGCATCTGTCCAACCGGCCGAGCAATATAAAAAATGTAATTTACTATTGTTGATATTTTGTTCTTTAACCAATTTTGCAGAATTTATCACATATCCTTTATCGATCTTTATAAAATTTTCTGCTGATCCTGCTGCTGCTTTTGTTGTACCTAATGTACAAAATATAACACTTTGACAAGAATATATAGAGAAAAATGAAAACATTGAATTAAAAACAATGATTATTACGATTATTATTGTTGTTGTTGTTGTTATTGTCAAGTACACTCACTCGTGCCCTTTGGTTCATTCGATTGATTCGAAATCATTTGACACCTGGAAACCTTTAAATTTCAGTGAAGAGTTTGACACTAGTTTAATCGGAAATACAGCTTTTGTGCGGGACGATAATAACAATAAAGTTTACGTGTTAAGCGGATCAACTTTCTTTAGTGTAGACATTGACAAATTGGTAATTGAAAAAAGATTACAAGAAACTAATGCAAATATCAATAATCTAAGTACCATGGTTACTCTTCATCTATTAAATGACAATGAGATAATTCTTATTGGAAAAAATTTGTCTCAAGTATATATAATAATTATTATTCATTTAGATTGCAAATATAAATTTGTAAATGTGTATTAACTTTTTTTTTTTTTTTAAAAAAATTTAGTTGTCCATTTATAATATTAATAAAGATACTTGGACTCCTGTGGTAAAAATTTATGATGAAAAAAAATTTTTTTTTTCCAAGTTCTCCTTCCCAATTAATTATATATTATTGTTATTAGAATACAACTGGTTATACACCTTCCATAAGACTTAAACATTCTTCGGTAATGAGTAAGTAATATCTATCTATATCTTGCTTGATTATTATGATTAATACATCTAATAATTTATTTTATATATATATAGCACCCGATGGACGAATAATCGTGTATGGTGGAACTAACGAACCAGATAAATTGGCAATCTTGGACACCAAAAACAATTTTGAGTGGACAACTCCAAAAAATATTGTTTATCCTACTGCAATTAACACACTTCATTATACGCACACTGCAACATTGTATAAAGATACTTATATGATAATTGCATTTGGTAATTACTATTGTTATTTGTCATTATCATTGCTGTTGTTGTTCTATTTTTTAGAATTATGAAACTAATATCTTA